TTACCAAATTCTTTAAATGTTTTAGTTTAGATTCCTTATGTGCCTTTCATGAAATGTACAAGTTCATTTATTTTACTGGTGAAAGACCTGTCATATCTGCACTATGAGTTCTGTATGAAATTTAACTATACTACGAATAAATTTAAATGAAAAATAAAGCTTCTTCTTCTGATTCCAGGCACTTGGTAGCCACGGTTTACAGTGCAATTATGGCCAAACAACCAGTCCCAAAGACGGCACAGAAATGGCATCAAGAAACCTCGGTCACAAAGATAAAAATCTCTGAAGGGGGTAGATCCCAAGTTCCTTAGGAACATGCATTTTGCCAAGAAGCACAACAAGAAGGGCTTCAAGAAGATACAAGCAAACAATGCCAAGGCCATGTGTGCACACGCTGAGGCTATCAAGGCCCTTGTCAAGCCCAGGAGGTCAAGCCCAAGATCATCCCAATGGGAGTAAACCGCAGGCTCGCTCGACTTGCCTCTATTGCCCACCCCAAGCCTGGGAAGCATATCCGTGCCCGCACTGCCAAGGGTCAAAGGCCTTGCCAGCCAAAGGCCCAGGCTCCAGCATCTGCTCCAGCCCAGGCTCCCAAAGGTGCCCAGGCCCCTGTGAAGGCTCCACAGTAGAAGCCTCTTATCTGCTGATACAAAAACAGAAGGACTGGTGCGACCCCTGGGGTGCCATCTGTGGGGGCTGGCGTCCTCCTGTGCTCTTTGTACAAATAAACCTGAGGCAGGAAAAAAATAAATAAAGGTGAAAAGCCACAAAGAAATACATATTGGCGGCCAACGCTGATGAATTCCTGAATTTTTATTCTGTGTAACTGTATTTCTAATGAATCCCAATCCATTTAAATCTTTAAAATTTAAAAAATTTTACCGAAAAAAGACGCTTCAAGTGATATTCAGAGGGACTAGCATAAAGCTCATTGGGAGAACACATATGTAAGGCCCTAGACTTGATCTCCAGCACCATACAAAGAAAACAAACTGTTCAAGATACATTTGATTTTAAAACAGACAAGTTTATACCAGGGCTTACAATGATTTCAGTAAAGCAGGCATGCCACAACACAATGCACAGGTACAAAAATCATGTAATGACTGCTTTATAGTGAAGGGGACAAAGATCTTTTTCAAATATGGAAAGAAACTAGTCTTTTTACAATGTTAATCCTCAAGAACTATTCTCCTTTATAGACCACAATATTATTGTCAGTTTCATATACTTTTACTTTATAAAGAACTCCCGCGGGAAGAAATTTCTGGAGGTTGTCCCAGATGTACACAGCTACATTTTCTGTCGTGCTGTAGAAAAAAAAGTAAAAAAGTTCAAAATGCAAATAATAAAAATATAATTTCATGTTTAATATTTACAGAAATTTTAGTATTGTGGGACATAGTAAACTAAAACTTTAGAAATCACAAGTAATTTGAAAGAAGTTTAGATCCAATTCTTCTCAGTCTTTATGAAAGGCAAGGTGGTGACACCCACCTTACAACATCAGCGAAGTATGGCACATCCAGATCCAGGTTCTTGTGGTCTAGGGGCTTTGTAATTGCTTCCTGCAGACAAAAAAAGGGAAAATCCATTTATTCGACTTATGACTCAAATTCCAAAAGGCACCACCTCCAAAAGCCTCTCAACTTTAATATATTGTTTAGCCATGAACTCAGTACCTGTTAAGTATTATATCTTTGTATACGTCTATAAACAATCTTACAAGTGTAAATCAGGCCTAGCTCCTGTAAATGATTAGTTATTCTTGTTACTGAAAAACTACAGAGGAGAATTCCTACAGCTTTCTTGAAACTCAAGCCACCATGACTCAGAATTTAGTTTCACATGTTTGAATTCTGTCCCAAAAGTTATAAGAAACACTTCCACAACATTCTTCCCTACAGAACAGTGCCACAATATCACTGGACAAAGATCCCAACTGAGCACTGTATTTTATAAAGCAGTCCTAGACTGAAATTATATATGTAGTTCTAAATTTCTGCTATGAAGAGTAATTTAAGAATGACCTTGGACTCTGAGAAGAAAAGGTATAAATACATAAAGAATATTGTTTCTTAATACTTACATATATTAGTATAATGTTTCTTTTTTGTTGTTAGCAAGGATTGTAATTGCCCTTCCTTTTAGGTTTTTACTTTTAGCTCTTGGACAAAAATCTAAGCACTTATAAAACTAATTTTTCATATCATATGGTTTTAAGTAATAAGAATAGGGATCATTTCTTGAGCAAAACCAGAATTATATATAGTGTAAATCTCAGATTAATTCATTTTTAAATAGATCAAATGAAGAGATATCTTATGTGAATATCAAGAAAATGTATTTCAGCTTTATCTTCACACCCTGTCCTGGTCCCAACTCCTCCAGTGAATTTCACTCAAGATGCTACGAGCCACTTTTAGTAATGGGAATGTGGTATACTTCAGGTACATAAAGGAGAAAAAAAGCACAGCAAACCGTGCCTTAGGTGTTCAACCGCAGTTGCTTCAGGCTTTCCAGTATTACCTTACATTGTATATTCATATTTTATGCTCCCAGTAAACCCAAAAACTATCTATCTCCCTAAAGCTCTCTAAGCACAGTGGTATCTATTCGCACATTCTCTTGTTTATTTACTCAACCAACAATTTTTGAGCACTGTCTTTCACACCCTAGAAAAAGCAGCACACGTAGTCTGTGCTACTGGCTTTCCTTCTCTGGCCTCCTAAAACTTAAATCAAAACACTTGTGCAAAACAGGCAAATTTAGGATCGGCCAAATAGCTCAGTGGATTAAAGCACCTGCTTAACCTACATAATGAAATAACTGGTTTGGACAATCTGGTCTAAAATGTCATAATACATGCCTGGTGTGACGACACATGTCTGTAATCCCAGAATTCAGCAGGCTGAGGCAGGAGGACCCTAAGAATTTGTTTTTTTTGTTTTGTTTTGTTTTTTTAATTATTTATTTATTTTTATTTATTACATTTATTTATTGTGTGTGTGTGTGTGTGGCCAGCTCAGCCCACAAGGGGGCGGGGCTGGCTGGCATGTGGTGCCGGGGGATCGAACCGTGGTCCCTGTGCTTTGCCAAGCCTGTTTCAAGTAGGTGCCTTAGACCACCGAGCCATCTCTCCAGCCCCAGACCCTAAGAATTTGAAGCCAGCCTGAGCTATATAGTGAGCTCTCAAAACCAACCTGAACTACCTAGTGAGACTCTGTCTCAAAAATAAAATCTCTTCCAATATAAGAAGTTTGTGACAACACAATCAGTAAGTTCTTTATTGAATATGTGTGCGGATTCCTATAATGAACTGTCCCAGTAAGTTCATGATAAAGCCAGAGTGATTAAGAAAAGACAGAATTAAATATCTATGACTAAAGACACAAGGAATGTTCAGAGGAGTAACAGAAAGCTTAAGGGAGAGAGCCATCCTGAAGAAAGGGTAGAAGCTGTTAAAACGGAAGAAATCAGGATATTCCAACAAGGCACCCAAGGTGAGCAGGGTGTATTTCTCCCCACTGCGACAACACCTGCATGACTACTTGCCCTTATGGAGACTCTTAGAGGGCCAAGCGGTTCCTCCAAGCAGCCTTCCACTCCCACACCCAACTCCACTTACGAAGTCATAGAACCTCAGCAGATAATTGAGGTGGTAAAAACGTGCCACCAGACATTCACAGAAAGGACAGCACATGACAAGCACCCAATATGGCATTACCTCCATGTAGTTTTTTAGGTCAGTCAAATTCATAACCATTCCTGTAACAGGATCAATCTAAAGAAGAAACAAGAGTGAGTAACCTTAACAGGGTCCCCAGATGCAAACTTCTGGCAAATTATTAAAGGCTGTACAGTGCACACGCTGGCCACATGTTGCAGAGATAATCATCGTTCTCAGCACAGAAGCAACATACGTCTCACGTCCCTTTCACTGTTCAGCTTTTCTCCCTGCCTGCACACAGTCCATTACAGACGACACTGAGCAAGGAGAGGCCTGGAACAGCAGCAGTCACCACACACAAAGGACAACAATGAAGCAAACGAGACAGTTGGCTGAGCAGGGACACAAAAGCACACAAATATCTGCAGCACATACCTCTCCATGTACTGTCACCACAACTATGGGGAAGGAAAAAAATGCCAGAAAACAACATGATTTTCCACAGACAAACATTCAAGCACAAGTCAGCAATATGAATCATTAGATCTCTAGCTCCCAAAGCTATACTTACATTTTCCTCCTAAAGTTTGTCCTCTTGGGTAAGACCTTATTATCTATCAAAGCAAGATTTACCCAAGACAGAGAACCTTAGTGGGGGCTTTGGCTAACTACAGCAAACTGGCTAAACAGGTATAAATTCTGCTCACAATGTGGGTATACAAGGAGGATAGGGCTGTTTTCTATGTCTACTTATAGAAGTAGAAAATGGACAGGCAGGTGTCCAGCTAGTCACTGAATTGGGCCACTTCTTGAAAGTATCTTTCTGAGCAAGCAAATCACTAAAAAGAGAAATAGCTTTCTCCTCGAATAAGGGAAAACTTATTCTTTTTTTACAATTTGCTAAATACAGTTCATGGCTTGTGCCCTATGATTTATGTTTCCTTTTTAAAATTTTTTAAGGACCAGCCAAATAGCTCAGGAGATTAAAGCGCCTACAAGCAGGGGCTGGGGTTTTAATCCCCGGGCCTGCTGTGCCAGCCCAGCCCCTGGGGCACACTGAGATGGTGGCACACGCCTGTAATCCCAGCTCTTGGGAGGCTATAGATAGGAGGATCACTGTGAGTCCGATCTAGTAGTGAGACCCTGAACACCCTGTAGACCCTTCCCTAAAAAATACAAAAAATAAATAAAGAATAAAATAAAATAAATTTTTTAATCTTTTATTTCTTTGTATGTTTGATACAGGATCTTGCTACACAGCTCAGACTCATAGAGATCCTCCTGTCTCAGCCTCCCCAGCACTGGGATTACCGCTGTGTGCCACCATACCCGGTTTTGGTGGCTGGCCTAGTATGTGGGACAGGGAATCAAACTAGGGTCTGCAACCTTATAAAATTATGCTTATATGAAACATGTCAAAAATCTTGATTAGTAACTACTTTACAAATTAGTAACTTCTAAAAATATGTACTATTTTCAAGTCCACACAAATACCATTAGGTACTACATAATAAACGAGTACACTGAGATTAAGCGATATCATAAATAACTAAATAAGAAATCCTGATCTCTTGATGCCCCACCTGCCCTTTTTAAATGCCACTGCACCACACAGCTCAGTTGCAAGGCATCAGCTGTGTCCCAAAGAATCAAATCTCTTATTTTTGCACAAATTATAATACTTAACTTTCTTAGAGAACCAAGCTAATTTTCTGCCAGACAGTGTTTCCCCTTTGTCAGTTATTATTTAGTCAAAGAATAAATCTAGTTTTTAAATTCTGCTTTTGCTATGAGATTCCACACAGAACTTTGTTAACTGACACACAAAAACTACACATATTAAAGGGGCACCATTTGATGTGTGAGTACATGTATATATAAAAAAGTTTTAATCATCTTAAACATATCTCCTGAAACACTATAGCACAATTTTAACATTAGCTTCAGTGATACACAACCAGAAGGAAACACAGTGCCCAAAATTTTCTGTTATATTCTCTAAAGCCAAAGAAAAAGTTCATTCTACCATCCTTGGCTTGGACTATCTACAACAGAGTAGACAATTATAAGGTAATATTTAAGACACAGGCAACCAAGACAACAGCTTTTCACTTTGAACTTCTACTTAACTTCTTGTTTAAAGCATTCGCACTGTCCCTAAGATTCTTTCTCATTATGCCTACATTTGCAAACACTCTTACATCCTTATTAAAAAAAATTACAATTTCACCAGTTTTTCTCTCACCTTTATAATTGTGCCCATGGCCATTTGTATTGTTGCATTTTCCAAAGAGTTTCAAGTTTTCCTCATTACTCAGGGATTTGCTGACCAAAAAAATAAAAGAAGAAAGTAGGCATGACTCATGTCATATTCAGACCCTTTTTCTGTTCCACATACTTATTATTTGCTCTGGTCTTTGAAAAGTTTTATAATTTGTTATTACTTTAACTCACCAAATGGAGAAATCACTTCGATTTCATTATTCATCTCCATTTAGGTAACCAAAGTATGTTTTCTAATTTCACTACTGTACTACTGCAAATTACAGTAAATAAACTTTAAATTCAACCCCTTTGCTTCACAGAAAGATTCCAGCCCATCTCACGGTCCTTTCATTCAATTCACTAAACATTTACTGAGTACCTACTATGCAAAATGAAAGTCCACAATGAAGCAACAGCAGACTGAAAAACACAAGAGGAAATCTGTCCCTTTAAGCAGCTTAAGATCTCATTTCCTCTGAAAAATAATTACATGACCTCAGTATCCTCTTTTTAAGTCTCCCTCTACTCTGACTCAATCAACTATTGCTTACTGAAAACCTTACCAATCTGTTGCAGGATATTCAAATTGGGCAAATTTTTAAAATTACAATTGTTAGCTGTTGTTTCAGTTTAAAAAACAATGAATTTGTTTATCTCTAAACAAATTTGTTGTTTCAGTTAAAAAACAATGAATTTGTTTATTGTTGTTGTTATTTCAGTTAAAAAACAATGAATTTGTTTATCTCTACCCACCCAACTTTCCATTTTCTATGTCTTTATCTCCCTCGTATGTTTGATCTTCTATTATCCAGTCTCTTTCCTTTTGAAAACCTTACTATCCCAACCACTTTTCAAACTTGAGAGCTATAGTTCACAAAGCTTTTGAACAAAGGTATCACCCCACTGTCCACAAAACTGAATACATATAAACTTCAGATGGGGCAGTGACACGTGTCTGTTGGTCCCTGAAAAAAACCCTGTCACCTAGCACAAGGCTTTAAAGCACAACATAAACCCTTTTCCAGTAATAAATGGATGAATCCTGATGGCTAGAAATTATTTTCCTCATCCGGCCTGATGGCTCAGCGGACTAAAGCACCTGCTTGGGCAGAGCACATCGGCCGGATCTGATCCCCAGCCCGCCGCCGGCCTGCCCCCGGGGTGTGCAGAGAAAGTGATCGAGACTGGGCGTGGCGGCACGTGCCTGTAATCCCAGAATTTGGGAGGCTGAAAACAGGACAATCTCGACGGGGCTGATCTACGTCGTGAGACCCTGTAGACTCTGCCCTAAATACAGAATAAAAATAAAAATAAAATTATTTTCCTCCTTTCACAGAGGAGGAAGCAGAAGTTCCGAGGGTAGAGCTTGCCAGTGAGTAGTGAAACTCATCAACTTCACTGCAAGCCGCTTGAAGGCTAGAGGCTCAAACCCCACCTGGGGCAACTGCGAAGGCAACGACTGACCGTCGAGGTTCATGTCATCGCGGGCTCAAAGGGGGACAGAAGTTGCCAACCACTGATATACTACATACAGTAGCTCACGCTCCTGCATAAAATCTCTGCTAACGTTTACGGAGTGTTTACAAGGCTCGGGTTAGGCAAGCTTAACTCTGCTGAACTTCACAGGAAGCCTTAGGAGTAAACTAAGGGACTCTGGAGCAACCGCTCCAGAGCGCCGCCTAGGGGTGTGATGGCAGGGTGGCGCACGCTAGCTGCTGCGATAACCTACGCACCGCACTGCCTCCTCTAGGGCTCCCCGGAGTCTGCGCGCCACCGCTCTCGCGAGGCCGGACCCGCGCCGGCGCCGTCCCCAGCCCCTGTCCGCTGACGTCACCCTCCAGCCCTGCCCCGTCCTCGCGTGACACTCCCAAGCCCGACCACGCCCCCAGCCCCGCCCACGGCAACGTTTCCAGTCGCGACGCCCGTGGGTACACCGCACCTGTGCAGCCGATGGCTTGCGCTGAACGAGATGAGGCGAGACACTCGTGCCTGGCGGCGACCGCCCGAACCCGCCGAGCTCATTGTCTCCAGGTGACGCCGGGCACCGGTGACTCTTGACTCCTCCCTCTGCCAGGCCGGGAGCTGTGTGGTCTTGTGCGCCTGCGCAGAGCAGGCTCCCTGGTTCCCGGAAGCGCTCCTTCCTTCGCTGTCCGGTGGGGCCAGAGGTCCGGAGCTCCTCTAGTCCGGCAGAGAGATAGTGACCCTCATCTGTCACTTGTCTGAGTGCCCTAGGATAGCGCGAAGCAATGTGTGCGGAGTCAGTGGCTCGGCGAGAGGTCATACCATGAGCTCAGAGCGGGTTTGGGCACATTCTGTGTCCTCCAGTGACTACTTTAAGCTTTCTCTGTACTCTCTGTAGAAAACCCTGAGCTGGAGTAGACCCTGAAACTCCAAATCTGAGGGCTTTGTGTACTTAAAACGTAAAAGGAACCAGAATCTGAGAGCGCCTGTACAACTACGGGGCTTCCAGAAGTGGTACTGTTGTAGGCAGCCGAGTTAGATAGAAATATTATAGGCAGTTAGACAGGGTCAGGCCCTCAAGGAGACAAGATGGAAGACAAGATGACTTTGCAACTTGGAAGAGACAGACACTCCCATATGGGCCAGGCCTGAAGACCAAGACAAAAAGAGGAAACACAGTTACATACTTCCCTAGGGATGGGCATTAGGGATTGATGTCCTAAATAGTATCAATCAACTTGAAAGAGCCCAAAAGAGTTACTAGCCCAACCCCCAACAGAAAGAGACCCTGTCCTGTATTCATGCCCACTTGCTACATGACTCGCTTTCCCAGTTGATACTGGATTTAATCAATTTTACCTGAGCAATGGCGCTTGTAATCTCATTGGTTGACCATAGTTTTTTCCCACCTCATTCCCACCTAAGCGAGTTCTCATGTCTTCACCACCTTAGACTCGCCTCACCACATGGTCTTCCTCTATAAAAGTCCCTGCAAGAGACATCTTGGGGGGGGGGCACTACCTGCTCAGCACCCCCCCCTTAGACAGGAGCTTTCTTTCTCTCAATAAATATATTCTGCTCATAACCTCCGTTTGTTCCTAAAATTCATTTTTCAGTTTTAGAGAACATGAACTCGTGCAGGTCAGGTCCAGAGATCGTTTTTCCCTATGTCATTTGGAGGTTCCCTATATTGTTTGGAGGTCACCCACCTGAGACCAGTTTTTCTCCCTGTATCAGTACTACTTTCGGGCTATTATCTAATGACTTTCACTAAGGAAAATTCGAAAACCACCGTTCCCCACAAGCATTCGTGGGCCCATCTATCAGAAATTCTTGTACATTTAGAAAAGATAAAATTATGGTGACAAAAATATAGCCCCCATTGTGATTTATCTCAAATGTCTTGTCACTAGCTATATATTGTATACATTCTGCCTTAAATCTTTTATTATTGTTTAAGGTGTTAAGTATACATTTTAGGTATAATGATGACATTCAACATAGGGAATTTGTACCTGTGCATGATATAAGCTTGATTCTTTTTCCCATTCCCTTAACTTCCATTAAACCCCTCATTCTGCATTAAATTAATGTTATGTAGCAGACATTCACACATTTTTATATGTCTATCCCATCTTCCTCATTGTAGAGAGGGTTTAAAAGAATTGGGGCAGGGAGATAGTTCAATGGAATAAGTGCTTACCTTTTATTAAAAAAATAATAATAAAGAACTGATGTGGGAGGCCCTACACATTTCTTATCTCCTAGTTCCTCTCCAGGGAATTTTCATCTGCTTGAATCTTTTTTCCATGCATCAAGAGAGCCTTATGTACTCACGGGTGAAGTCACAATTGTGATCATATCAAAGATGCTTGTGGTTTATTCTTTGGATCTATACTCACAGGAGGGGGAAAAAAAACTTCAAACTCGCTACTCAAGTAGTTTGTGTATTGTACAGTATGTACAATTAATGTATTCCATTTCCTGCCTTCTCATGGAAAGCTGACCCAAATGCTACCCAACTCTCCCTTTCCCCCTCCCATGTGCACAACACACTCAATTTCCTTGAGTCTGGATACTGGCTCATGATAGGAGTTGAGTTTAGGGAGAAAAGAGACCTGTATTTTAAACCTCAGTTATATACTCAATTTTACCAACACCTGGACTGCTAGGCACTGTGCCTAGGTTAGAAAATGCCATCAGTCAGTTTTGTTTGGCAGTGAAGTGGTCTTCTTCCAGGACTTTAAGGAGAGCAAAGCCAAGGCAGAACTCATGCTTGGGTCAATATCTTAAGAATATATTGCTAACCTATGTATGTTCAAACTTCACTCCCTGTGCATTAAGATGAAGTATATAAGTATATACTGGAAAGATGTCATCAGATCTGTGATTCCTAGAGGTCAACCAGAGGATCCTTCAGTGTTCACATCCACATAAGATAGACTAAGCCTCCAAGTCCTGTCCAAGGAAGTACTAGAACAACTTTCAGAACCTCCTGTGAACTATCAAGCTATTTATACTCTCATGGTTACCTTAGGCTGGTGCTCCCACATCTCTGTATTATCTCTGCTTAAACATCTTCTTGCCATTCTAAATCTTTGGTTGTTTGACAAAACCAGACATGGGACTTAGCCCTTTTACTTTACTTTTTCTTTTTCATTTAGTATGTGTTTGAAATACATAATGGTAGCGTGTTTGCAATACATCATGATTTGTACATGTACATAACACACCTGAATCTTGGTTGTCATTTTCCCATCCCCTTCCCCCCTTCCAACCATTCTTACCCTCCAGGTTGAATGCCAAAAATTCTATTACATGAGAGCATGGGGCTGTATACCAGGATGCTTGTGTTGTAATTTTTGTACTAGGGAAAACTAGAAACAACTTCAATTTTCACCCCTACAAGTTGTTTGTTCATATTTTTGCTGTTCATATTTTACTTGGTTATTTGCCTTACTTTACTGATTTTTAGAAATTCTAAGTCAATTTTTGAGGTTAATCTTTTGCTTTATAAATATCACAAATAGTTTCAGCTGAGCAACTACCAGTTGTTTAACTTTTCGATATTCTTTCTCCGTTGCAGTTTTTTTCTTAATTTTATTCTAACATACTTTATTCATTTTTGCTTTCTCTTTTTTTGAGAACAATGTACACACGTTTATTTTATAGACATATTCCAAAATTAAGATGTATAGTATAGAGTACCTTTTTATTTAGTACATGATTTCTTTAATTTCCCCACATTCAAATTGATAAGGACTTTGGCAGCATCTACACTGAATTCTAATCTTGAAGAAAATTTATTTCTAAGTCAAAAAGCCATAAGCCAGGACAAAGCATTATTTATGATTCATGAAAACAACTGCATTCCTGAGGCACAAATCATAGAATTATTGAAATTACCAGCTGGACACAAAACTTTTAAGATAAACCAATCAATTGATAGCCGAAGTCTTACACAGCCTATTGTTGGAGTTTGCTTCCTAGTCCACTCTGCCAGTCTATTTCTTTTAGTTGGTGAATTGAGATATACTGACTTAAGTCTGACATGTTAACCTGCTTTTTCTCCTTTGTTTAATTATTTGCCCTATTTGATGGGTGTCTGTTCTCATTCAAGGAGTAGTGGTCATTTTGATCCTACTCTAGAATATCTTTTAGTAGATATCTGTGTAAGGTTGGCTTTGTCATGAAATTCTTTAGTTGGTCTTTGTCATGGAAGTATTTTACTTCTCCATTAAACTTGAAAAGAGTTTTTGCAGGGTATAACAGTCTGGGTTGGAATTTGTTTTCTTGCAAGACTTGTAGTACTTTGCTCCATGCTCTTCTTGACTTGGTTTGTGAAAAGAAATCTGCCAGGGCTTTTTTGTTTTGTTTTGCTTTTTGTTTTTGTTTTTTTTTGGGGGGGGGGCGGTTGGCAGAACTGGGGATTGAACTCAGGCCCTTGCGCTTGCCAGGGAAGTGTTTATTCTACTGAGCCATCTCCCCGGCCCCTTTCTTACCTTTTCACTAGATGGAATGGTGTCTTTAAGGCCTGAAAGTCTATTTTCACTTTCATTCCAATGGTTTTTCCAGCTTGTAACTGAGGTTTTAATTTCCTGTATATCTCTCTGAATCTACCTCATGCCTTCTATTTCTTTCCTATATTACTCATTCAAGGATTCCATCATTCTTCTATTCACCTCTATTTTTTTATCAATGTCTTCTTTAGAAGAACTTAGTAATTCTTTCATTATAGTTATCATTTCTTTTTTTACTTCAGAAATTATTTCTGATCTGATTTCCTCTATAGCTTTCTGCAGTTGTTTCTTTACTTCTGGCGCTATTATTTCAGAGAGTTCAGGTGTGTGATTTCCAATTTTTTCTATGCTACTGTCTCCTGCATTTGTTCAGGTCGGCTCTGGACCTGAGAATGCATTTTGCTCCTTTGCTTTCTCTTTTATGTTTCACTTTTAGGAATGCCTTTCTTACCTTAAAGCACTATATAAAACCTCACATATTTCTTATTTAGTGTCCTTATAGTTGTATTTTTTATTTTTTTCTTATATCTAACATTTTTATTTACATTATCTTTCTTAAAAAGGAAATGATCCCTGTTTATAATGCTTTCTTACCAACCAACACTTTTTCCAAATCATATCTTATTTAAATATATCTCCTATTTGAATCATAATTCCTTTGGCAGATTTTATCCTGGGTTTGATGATTGTATTCCTTTCATTCTTGTACAGAAAGAAAAGTAGATGGCAATCTTTTTTCCCCTCTATTTCACAGTGCTGTCCTGCCTATTCTCTTTTCCCTTCTAAACTGAGGCTAAACACCTCAGGAACTCTCTCAGAGGGATTTTATCTGCCAGCCTTCTTCATGATCTAGATGGCATTCTCCAGGGATCTGTTTTCTATTTGTTTCTGTCTAACTAAAAATAAGGATTCATATTTACAGACATACCTTTAATGTCATTATAATGGGACTGTAGACAGGAGAGTTAAATGCATGTGTACAGTCCACTATCTTCTCAAAATCTGCACAACTTTTTAATGCTTTCACTATACTTTTTGTTAAAGTCAGTTGTATTTATCTGGTTCTTGCTGGGGAAAAGTCATAAAATTTGTTATGCATGTAAATGAAATATCTTCAAATTTCAAGTAGTTGAGAACTAATTGTTGCTCATTAGCAAGATGAAATCTTTTTCATAATTACATCTCCTTACATATTTTAATCAGGATTCAGTTAGGTTTTTTATTTCAAAACTACTCATATGTTTTAAAATT